GTAATGGTTTTTATTGACTTACCAACTAAACTCTGACGTGTTAGTTAGTCCAATTAATGTTTAAAATTTAGATTTCATTTGATTATTTGTTTTCTTTTTCCCATGACGAGGAAAAGCACCAATTGGATTTTCCATGGCTACAAAATAAGATCCTTTTTCGACACAACACTAGATTCCTAAAGTTCTCTCTATCAAACCCTTAACAATCTTACAGAAACAAGAAAGCCCAAGAAACCTTTGAGAGATGGGCAACAAGAAACTGTTGACCGGCGCTTCAAGCAGAGCTTATGGTACTGCAAGTTACAGAGATCCTCTGTTGCAGAACCAGGTCTGTTTCCCCAATTTCCAGTTCCATTAACCTTTCTTGTTTCTCAGATTCATGCTTTTGTGAAGTTTCGGATGTAAAGTTTTGTCCTTTACTCAGAAATTTGTTAATTTGTCACTGTTATTGGAAGGTAATTACGGATTCTATTTCTAGGCTTGATTACAAATTGTAATTGAGTTTAGGATGTTAAAAGCACTCCTTAAGTGTCATGTTACTTAATATTACTGTTTAATTGGAATAGTCTGATTAGTATTTGAAGCATAGGGTTCTAGTGATCATTCGATTGGAACTATCCCAAGAGAAGAAATTTCCTTTAAAGTTTGATTCTTTGGATATGATTTGCTAGATTATGAGTTCCCATGTTTATGCTTGTAAACTGTAAATGTGTTTCAGTAACTGTTAGTTTGTTTTGCTCATTTGTCTGTACCGTTTGCAGGATAAACCCAAAGCGAATGGAGAGCAAGTAAGCGAGAATGGTCCAAATGATCTTGAGCATGGTGTAGTTGAGGTATGTGTTTGTACTGTTCTACAGAAAATTTTAATAAATAGAAATGATGTTTATCTTATTTGGGTTTTTTCAGGCAGCAAATGTCGGATTTGGCAGAGTCTTTTCGTTGGTGAGTGATTCTTGGTCTGAATAAGCTTTTAGCATTCTTATATAAAAACCATGTCAATACACTCAAATATTATTGTTGCAGGCAAAGCCTGATGCGGGAAAGCTTGTGATTGGTACCATTGCTTTGTTGATAGCTTCAACAACTAATCTCCTTGTCGTATGTCTCATCTCTCTCATTCTTCGACTGATTTAGTAACTCTTTTTAGGATTAAGAAAGCTAAAAAAAAATTATGTTATGCAGCCAAAATTTGGTGGGATGATTATAGACATTGTATCCAGAGATACCGAGACGCCTGAACAGCAAGCAGAATCCATTCGTGCTGTTAGAAATGCCGTAGTGATCATTCTGATTATCGTTGTAATAGGGTAATTGCATCTTTAAAATTATTCCTTAGTCCTTTCTTGATTTTTATAATTTTGGTTTTGTCTAACTTGTACTTTTCTATATTCTCGGTTTCTTTAGATCGCTATGCACGGCTTTGCGATCGTGGCTATTTAATTCTGCTAGCGAAAGAGTTGTAGCTCGATTGAGAAAGGATTTGTTCAAACACCTAATGCATCAGGTGAAGAATAAATCTCAACACATTTCTCAAGATGCTTGTATCCGTTACTTTTATTCTTTTGGTTAGTCGTTCATGCATTGTCCATGACTACTGATGTTATTCTTGCTTATTGCTAACAGGAAATAGCATTCTATGATGTCACAAAAACTGGAGAACTCTTAAGTAGACTATCCGAAGACACCCAAATCATTAAAAACGCTGCTACTACAAATCTTTCTGAAGCTCTTCGTAATGTAACTACCGCGCTTATTGGAGTTGGTTTCATGTTTACATCATCTTGGAAACTAACATGTAAGGAGCTTCTCTTCTCTCTTGGGACTCTGCATTAATAGATGGAATAAACAAACTGACTCATCATTCATGCTTTTTTAGTGTTGGCACTAGTAGTAGTTCCGGTAATTTCAGTTTCTGTGAAACAATTTGGTCGCTATCTCCGTGAACTTTCACACAAAACTCAAGCAGCAGCTGCGGTTGCTGCGTCAATTGCTGAGGTTATTTTTCCCCTGTTTCTCATGTAGTACTTATCGATGTTTTCTTTCTGTTAATACTTCAAACAAAAATTGTAGGAATCTTTTGGCGCTATCCGAACGGTTAGATCTTTTGCGAAAGAAGGTTATATGGTATCACAATACTCCAAGAAAGTCGATGAGACTCTGAATCTAGGACTCAAACAAGCTGTGAGTTTTTGGTGGCATAAACCATTTCATAAGATTAAACTTTTGATGTGTCTTTGAGAGGATAAATCTATTTTTGGGTGGTGATTCAGGTACTTACCGGTTTGTTCTTTGGAGGACTAAACGCAGCTTTCACGATATCTGTTATTACGGTTGTAAGTTATGGAGCTTACCTTACAATAACTGGTTCTATGACTGTTGGAGCCCTCACGTCCTTCATTCTTTATAGCCTCACAGGTTTCCTTTGCATTCGTGTTTCTCGATCTAGAATTTTTGAAAGACTCATTGTATTAAACAAATATATCGTTTTTTGCAGTTGGTTCATCGGTATCTTCTTTATCAAGTTTGTACACAACTGCGATGAAAGCTGCGGGCGCTAGCAGACGGGTTTTTCAAATCTTGGACCGTGTTTCTAGCATGCCAAATTCAGGGGATAAGTGTCCGGTTGGGTGAGATTTCCTTTTGTATTAGTAAAATTAATTTTCTATATCATACGAACATTTTCATTTTATAACTTTGGGAATATCATGGTTGCAGTAATCCTGATGGAGATGTGGAAATAAATGATGTCTGGTTTGCTTATCCTTCTCGCCCTAGTCACATGATACTTAAGGTAATATGAAATCTTCATTACGGTTTAGTTCATCATTTTATCATAAGAAACATATATCATTCAACTTGTAAACATTTAGCATGAGTGAAAGTTTGGTAGAACAAATAAAGGTTTTRTTTAGCAGATTCTTGAACGATAACTATAAATTTGTGAAGATATTAATCGAATACGTGAAGGTTTTCAGTTTAAACCATCTCTTAAAACCCCAATATTTGTGCAGGGAATATCGTTGAGGTTGACACCAGGTTCAAAAGTTGCACTTGTAGGACCAAGTGGCGGAGGAAAAGTAAGTTTCGGTTCGAATTGTTTTGCAATTTCTCGTGCGGCCCGGTGAATGTTTTTCATATTTTGCATTTACCATATTGCAGACGACAATAGCCAATCTGATTGAGAGATTCTATGATCCACTCAAGGGAAAGATTTTGCTAAATGGAGTCTCTTTGATGGAAATATCTCATCAATATCTTCACAAACAGGTAAATATTCTGTTTCTTGAATGTTTCATGTGTATGCATATATTTGGTAGAACCAAAATCTTGAATTTATATTTGGTAGAACCAAAATCTTGAATTTTCTTATCCATTGTTCTTTCATTTCAGATCAGCATTGTTAGCCAGGAACCGAATCTTTTCAACTGTTCCGTGGAAGAGAACATCGCATATGGATTTGACGGTGAAGCTAGTCTTTCAGAGATAGAACATGCATCAGTAAGTACATCCCAAATCCCTTTCTTTCTCCATTTTTGTTGCACACCCTTATAGGTTCGTAATCAAAATGGCATATTGTTGCAGAAAATGGCGAATGCACACGAGTTCATAGAAACATTCCCAGATAAGTATAAAACTGTTGTTGGAGAACGCGGATTACGTCTCTCAGGAGGACAGAAACAGAGGATTGCAATCGCAAGGGCGCTTCTTACAAACCCAAGTGTCTTGCTCCTTGATGAAGCAACAAGTGCACTTGACGCTGAAAGTGAATATCTTGTTCAGGTAATGAAACTTAACTCCAAAAAACATAAAAAAACCAAAACCAACTTACTCATATCCTAACGTTCTGAATCTGTTTTGCAGGATGCGATGGACTCGTTGATGGCAGGAAGAACGGTATTAGTGATAGCTCATAGGTTATCGACGGTTAAGACCGCGGACTGTGTAGCGGTTATATCAGATGGTGAAGTGGCTGAGAAAGGTACTCATGATGAGCTTCTCAGCTTAAATGGAATCTACACTAATCTTGTCAAGAGGCAGCTTCAGAGTTCTTCCTCTGTAGTAACCAACTTATGAGATGAGATTACTCTTCTG